AATATTGTATCTGAGCTAGTTATGCACACAGAAGTCCGGTGCTAGTTACAAAAATTGTCCTTGGACATTTAGAGTGTAGAGCCAAAAAAAAAAATTCTCGCTCGCTTCGCTCGCGGTCTTCTACGGTCAATAATAAGTCCAAAGCATAGCGCAATCGCTCTTAAAACTGCACTTTTCAACTTGCAAAATAGGTTGTTTTTTTTTTCGCTCGCTTCGCTCGCGATTTTGAATAGGGGATGCTTCCTATCATGGCATGTCAAACAGTCCTCAAGTTTGAATAAAAATGGACAAAATGGACAAAAATAGTAATTGTAGTTCATTTGAAAAAGGGAGGTGGGGTAGGGTGAAACCCTAAAAGACGGCTCAGCCCTGGCTGACGATACTATAAGAGATTTGGAGACGGTGCCTCAAGGGTCGACTATAGCATAGCGCAATCCCTCTTAAAAACGCACTTTTCAACTTATGAAGTCGTTTTTTTTTCGCTCGCTTCGCTCGCGGTTTTGAATATAGGATGCTTCGTATCATGGCATGTCAAGTCCTCAAGTTTGAATAAAAATGGTCAAACTGGTAGTTCATTAAGGAAAGGGGTAAGTTTTCAGAAAAGGAGGTAGGTTTTTGGTCGAGGAGGTAGGTAGGTCCACTAGCTTGCCCACCCGGCTCAAAATACGATGGCCGCCACTGAATAGTGGTTCATTTCATTTGTATGTATTTACAAAAATGTATGCCTTTTCAAAAATGATTTTTAAGTTATTAAAGCTGCACATCAAAGCTCAGCTTTCCAAAAACAAAATTACAACCTTATAAAATAATAAATACAATAAGATGTAAATTACATGACATACATCAAAGGTACAAGTGAATTGATTTCAATTCATACATCACAGCAGTTGACATATTAAGCCAGTAAAAGCCAGTAATCACAACAGTCAATCAAAAACATAGATAGATAAAATATCAATTTGAGTCATAATTCTTGCTATGGGAAATTGAAAAGTAATCACGATAAAATCTAGTCTACAAAGTTAATTTTAAGCTTTCGAAGAATTTTGCGCTCTCTGTGTTCTCTTCATTTTCTTCAAAGCTTTCTTATCAACGGGTTTAGTTGATTTACCCTTTTTCCCTTGCTTTTTGAAAGCAGCCTTCTGTTTTCGTTGATCCTTCTTCATTCGTGGATCTACTACTTTGTAAGGTCCCTTTACTCCCTGAGGTCGCTTCGCTCTCTTGGCTGCACCACTCTTCTTGGCCACAACATAAGTGATCTCCTTCTTCTTTTCTTTAGCTTTCCTGTAAAGTCTGAAAAGGAAAAATAATAATCAGTTAACAGTTTGGAAAATTTTTGATAGGGAAAATAAAGTTTGACCTTCAAAACTTACGATTTGATTTGTTTGGATTTTTCCTTATCTGACATATCAACATTTTCCATGATATTCTCCAATTTCTTCTTAGCTTTCTCAAGTTTTTTGACAGCTCGCCTCTTCTTTCTGGCTTTAGCTTCAACAATCTTCTTAATAGGCCTGATATTAATTTCCTCCATCTTTTTCTTGTATTCATCCACCATTTCCTATAATAAGGATAAAATGCTAGAGCCACTGATACAAAAATAATAAAAACAATGAGGGTAAAGTTAAACATGGATTAACAGATACCTTTGGTACTGGCACATCCTTCTTCATATGTTTTTTCTCTTCTTCAACGAACCAATCAGGTAGGTTGTCATCATTAAAAACATACTTATTCCATCCAGCATCAACAATATTTCGCTTTGCTTTAGAAGAGGATACCATTAAGGCACCAAGAGCAAGACCTTCTTCATCCAACTTGACTTTCTTGGCTTTGGAAACTGGAAAAGAGAAACCAGATAAATAACCCCGTTGACTGAAGATTTTGTACTGATAAAGTGATTCAAGTATTTGCATCATACCTTTTTCTTTGGGCACTACTTCAAACCCATCCTTATCTGCCTCCTTTTTAGCCTTCTTAGCTTTTTTGTCTGGTTGAGTTGTGAGTGACTGTTCAACATCATAATCACTACCCTCATCACCGTCATCTGAATACTCATCAATAGGATCAAATGTTCGCTTTTTACTCCGCTTCTCTTCGCCAAGAATACGACCACCCTTTTTATGATACTCTTCTGCAAGTTGGTCCAATTCAAAGTCCTCATCAGCCTCATTCATAAGATTTTTTAGGGCATCCTGCAGGTACACAAAAGAATTCGTAATGCCTTACCCATAAGAAGAAAAAAACTCACCATTGGTAAATTTAAAAACCTTTGAATAATTATTCAAAGGAATAATTATTAAAAGGAATAATTATTAAAAGGAATCTAGAATACATACCTTTTCAAACCACAGCTGGGCTTTCTGGGCTCGCTTGTCTTTTTTATCCCTGGGATCCAAATCAGTAATGAGTGGGTTTGAACTTTCAGAATCAGTGACTTTCATGGACTTTCTATTTCCTGAAGGAGCATCCTTGCCATTAGACTTAGAGTTTCCAGTATCTGCAAATGTTACTGATTTCTTTTTCTTGCCCGACTTCTGAGGACCATCTTCGTTGTCACTATCAAGACCTAAATTTTAAACAAGTTTTAACACATTACACATAAAATCCACAGAAAATGCAAATTAAGAAACACATGCATGTGTATTGCAACACAAAGGAAAAATTAACCCACCTAAACCATCTTTCATATATTTTTCTTCATCTTCATCCTCACTTGAAGATTCTGGCTCACTCTCACTGTCCTTATAAAACCTACAGAAAAGAGTCATTACTAAAAACAAATATTCAAAATATTGGCACAGTACAGGTAAGGCTGGAGGCTCTACTTACTTCCCAGATTTATCAAGATGGGATTTTTCTTTGTTATATCTTTCTATTTTGAGCTTGGGGGCATCGTCATCAGATTCATCTGATTCAGCAACAATTTCTGGGGCCTGATCAGTCATTCTTGACAAGTCCTGCACAATTGAAAAAATGTTAAATGCAGATTTTGCTTAAACTAAAAGGTCGTCTGCATAAACTTTAATTATGTTAAACATACAGCAGCATTGGTAATAGCACGCAGGTCAAATGCTTCTTCCCCTTCCATTGTAGGACCAATATCACCTTTGAGAACCATTTTTAAATTCATCCTTTCTTGGAGTTTTTGCCTTTCTTTGTTAGCTTTTCTTCGCTTCTTCTTAGCCTCAGCTTTCTCTTCTTCCTGCATAACACATTAACAATTAAAATAGAACAGAACTTAAGGTAGACAAGCAATAAATACACTGCCAGACCAACAATTTTTCAAGTATTTAAAAAAAGAAATTGGCTTACACTGAGTGCTTCAATCCTCTTGGAAACCTCCTGCAGTTCTAACTCATCTTCATCAATGGACAGCTTCTCATCTTCATCATCTTTCACTTCAATAGTATCTCCATCTCCTTTTTCCACTTTAATTTTACTGATAAGATCTTCTCGCACAGCTTTGTACCAATTCAATACTACACGTAGGTCTTTTCTTCCCAGAACCTTAATATCTTTACAACATTCTCGAATTTCAGCTGTTGTTTTAGGGTGTTTACTTATTTCATCATCTTCAAATACAATCTACAAAGATCACAAAATATATTTTTAAAAGATAAAAATAAAATAAATAAGATGAAGAATATACATATCTAGCAAATTACCTCAGCTAGGCCAGCGAGAGCCTCAATTCCGTTGGAATGTGCAATGAACTCTTTGGCTGTTATTGTGGTGTGTTGTGTGTAATCTCCAGCACGGTACCCTTGAGCCCTGGCTTTCTTTTGCTTTTCAGGATGCATAATATCTGTGACACGAACTTTGGGCTCCAATTCCAGTTCTTCAAAGACATACTTGGGGTCTAAAAACCTGGGGTCTAGGTGATCAGGAGCAACATAGCCTTGGCATACAACAAAAATCTCAGCTGATTCAGCACGAGACGCAGATGGTTTTGTTGCATGAACCTACAGCAAAATGAAAATTAGTATATGGTAGATTGGGAGTAAAAAATATAAATATGAACAGCAAAGCAAGTCATGTAACAAACCTTATTGAACAATTGTTTTAAAACCCACACCAAAGCATGATAATCTTTGGATCGGAATACTTTGGTAACAAACCACCCTCCTCTACGGAGAAACCTTGTTGCTACCTTCAAAGCACTAAGAGTTAAACAAATTTGACCATAGGCATCATGCAACCAGTTTTTACCTAGAAGGAAGAGCACATTGATTGTAAAAATGTACTTAAGAACATAGCACATCATTCAAATTGCATAAGGTACCTTACCAACATTTGGAGCACCATCGTGTAAGACAACATCAGCCTTCCAGGTTTGCAGTTCTTTCTCTAAAGCTTTCGCAGTTTCATCAGTGGTAATATCACCCACAAGCCCAATAGCTCCAGGAATCTGTTTTATAGGAAATAAATCCACACCTAGAGAGATTGAGAAAGAAAAAATTAGGGTGGTGTCAAAACGCTTATCGCCCTGGTTGGAAAAACAAGAATTACATGCATAGAAATGTCTCAATGAGAGACTGAGGCACTCACCAACAACAATACTGGAGACTGGCATGTTTTGTCGTGCAACTTGCATCCATCCTCCAGGAGCAGCACACAAGTCTATACATACTCGAGACTTTTCAAGAAAACTGAATTTACGGTTTAATTGAATAAGCTTAAATGCTGCACGCGAACGAAAACCTGAGGAAAAGAGCAAACCATTTAACTGTACAGTTCAAAAAGAGAAGGAAAATAAATAGAAGAAACACAATCCACAAAGTAATACTACAAAACTGTCTTTAAAACTGGCAGAACTTTAGAACCGAAACGCTAGTCAGTATGGAATCACAGATGTAAAATAATAATTCGCCGACAGCACAAAAGAGGTTAAGTCTAACATGCTGAAAAACATTTACGAACCTGTTTCCTTGGCAAGCTGGTAGAACTTATCTTTACGTTGCTTTCCTATCTTCTTTTTGACACCCATGTTTGAAAGGTGAGCGTAAACTTCAAAGCCAAGTAAAAAGTATCTCTATCACAAAAAATTCAAGTCGCGCAGCACACACGTGTGTTGACTTGGTTTACTCTTCTCTCGTCTCCACCCTCCACCACACTTCGCCTCTCTCCCCTCCCCTTCCTTCCCTCTCCTCCTCTCTTCTTTCCTTCCCCCTTTTCTTTCTTTTTCTTTTCTGCTCGACTTGTCTCTCAAGTTTCTCATACATACACTCAACTAGCCTCTTCGAGGCCTTGGTAGGAATGATAGTGATGAGAAACATACCGCATACCTGTTGTAAACACGCAAAACATGACACCATGCGCGCACCTGACCTGGTGAGGTTAGAAAGAAGCTAGAGAGTTCATTGGAAGTTTGCACACAGAAGGAAAAGATAGAATCGATCTACGATGAGGAACTTGATTGTGAACAATTCCAGGGAGTTTTCCATCCCTGGACTCAAGCTCAGCGCAAATTCCCACGATTTGATTGTAGTTGACCATCTAAGAAATGCTATATTTGTGCAAAGTGGTGGAATAGTGTACAGATTCTCTACAGAAGATAATTCCATCACCGAGCTGTTCAGAATTGATCAGTACTATCCCAGTGAAGATGGAGCACCTCCGTCAATTGTGTCAATGTGTTATTTTCAACTGACAGATTCTTTATGCTTGGCTGTTGACAAAGGTGAATTGCTGAGTCTCAACTGCGCAGCACAAGAAGAAGTAGAATGTGTTGGTTTTGTCGAGTCTGGGTTGAGGCTTATGGAGGCAAGTCCAGACGAAGATGTTTTAGTCCTGTTGACAGCTCAGGACACAGTCATTACAATGACGGCATCCTTTGATCCTATAAATGAGACCAATCTCCAACAAACAGAGTTTGGAGAAAATCAGTTCATTACCGTAGGTTGGGGTAAAAAAGAAACTCAATTTCACGGCTCAGAAGGAAAGGCAGCTGCTTTAGCTAAACGTCCAGGTCACATTGCTACACTGTCCAAATTTGATGAAGGATCTCCCCAAATTACATGGCGAGGAGATGGAGCCCTCTTTGCTGTAAATTGTTTAAATAGTGCTACTGGAGAACGATTTGTTCGCATATTTGACAGGAAGGGAGATCTCATGTACACCAGTGAGCATATTCCAGGTAAAAGAGGCTTGCTTTAGTTTTTATGATTCCTTTTGTTGTACCATATACCATTGAAATTAAAAATAATTGTCATATGTTTACAGGCTTAGAAGGTGTAGTATCATGGAGACCATCAGGGAACCTCATGGCTTGTACTCAACGCCTGCCAAACAAGCATGTAGTGTGCTTCCTAGAGAAAAATGGCCTTCGTCATGGTGATTTCACTTTACCCTTCTCCCTGGATTCAGTACTAGTTCGTGAACTTTTGTGGAATGCAGAATCAACTATACTTCTTGCTTGGTGCCAAGTTGTATCAGGAGTGTCTCCACCAGCTGGTGTAAGGATGAAATCCCATTACTTGAACCTTCTATAAAATTACTTTTCATATAAAGAATACACTACTTAAAAAAATTAATTTTTACTTTTTAGCTTGTGGCTGGACAAAGCACATTGCTTCTTTGGACTGTGAATAACTATCATTGGTATTTGAAACAAAGGATTGATTTGCATGTAGATCATAGCCCAAAAGCTGTATGCTGGGATCCAGATTCAGGAAATCGCCTTCATGTCATCTGTTTAGGAGCAAAATACCTCAGCTATGACTTTTCATGGCGGGTTGACCATAGTTCTGGTACAAACCAAAATGATGGTGCTTTTGTCTCAGTAATTGATGGAGGTGGGTTTGTTAATTGCAAATCAATATTTTACTGTGTGTTCTTCTGTTGTTGTTTTTTTGTCTAACTTGTTCTTGTACCTCAGATTCCCTTCTCATTACTTCATTTCGGCATAATGTTATTCCTCCACCCATGTGTGGTACAACACTGAAACTTCCAGCTCCAGCTACAGAAGTAGTATTTGCACCCCAACATGTGCCGACATCAGCAATAAAAGAACTTGAGAGCAGATATCTCAATACAAGCTCTACCGAAGACTCCGGGTAAATGCTTTTTGTAGTCTAGTATTGGATGAAAATTCTCTTTGTCTGTCAATATTTTCAAGCCCACTTTTGGTATAGGTTTGGTGATGTTGTGGAATCATTGAGCTCCAACCCCAACAACTTTTGTGTGTTGTTGTGCAATGGCACATTAGCTGCATTTTCTTATGTGGGTAGTCCTCACTCACCCAATCCCAGTCATTCTTTGGCTGGTAAGTTGATTACCTACATAATATCCTCGTCATATTATCTAATTTTCTTTAACCTTGCCAAAATATATTACTACTTTTTAATATACTTTACAGGCGTTTACCAGATAGCATGGCAGGAGGGAGGTCAAATGATTCCAAACAACTATCTTCATCACTGGACGTGGATGTCACGTGACACAATGGTCTGCAGCGCTTCTGTGGAAAGTCAATCCCAATTATGTGTTTTTGACGTTGATTCTCTAGGATCGTCAGATAATGGACGTGTTGTTCTTAGGTGAGATTTATATTAGATGTTATAATGTATTAAAGCTAATATTTGCACTCCAGCTAAACTCAGTTTCACATTACAGGAAAACTGTAGCTTTACCTAGCAATGTGGTGTCCATTGTGGCAGGTACAGAGGGAAACACAGTCATTCTACAACTAGTAGAGGGCAAAGTGTTGTCCTTTTCACTGGAATCTGATACTATCTCCGATATGTTTACTTTTCCTCAACCTGTCCACAAAATTATGGCCTGCAAACTGGATAAAGACTGTGGTTTGGGGCATGAAGTTGTTCTTGGCCTTTCAAGTCACAATCGGTTATATGCCAACACTGATGTGATTATGGGTAATGTGACCTCCTTTGCATTGCATTCTAAGTTTTTGCTTTTCACCACGTCTCAACAACAGCTCTTTTGTTGTCCTTTGAAGAAAACATCTCTACTGTCTTTGTCAAAGACAGGTGGAGATAGTGGAAGGTAACTGGGCTGCTAATCTATCCAGATCTGGATGTTTGAAAAATGGAAGTACAACTCAAATCTTCAATGTCCTCTCTACTTTATTCTTTTTCAGCTTCGGAGTTGTGGAGAGGAAAGTTGAACGTGGTTCAAGACTTGTTGTGGTTGTACCGGATGGCAACCGTGTGATACTACAAATGCCCCGCGGCAATCTTGAATGTATTGAGCCCAGAGCTTTAACTCTCTGCCAAATGGCTGACTTGCTGAATACACAGACATATTTTGAGGCATTTGACCTAGCTCGGAAACAGCGCATAAATTTAAATTTATTTGTTGATCATGATCCTAATTTGTTTCTGAGAAACATTGAACTCTTTGTGAAACGTGTCTCCAATCCACAATGGTTATGTCTCTTCCTTGCTGAGCTTCATGATGAGGACTGCACAAAATCAATGTACAAGTCTCATTACCCTGATCAGTCTCCTTCATCACTTTCGGATAAAGTTAAAACAGTGTGTGATGCATTTTTAGCAGCTGTAAAGAAAAGCAATGAAAAGGAAGCTGAGAAATTAACCTTGCCTGTTTTGACAGCATTGGTGTTGAAACATACATCTGAAGGTCTAGAAGCAGCACTCACTTTAATTAAAAAATTAAAGGAATCTGAAGACAAATCTAGTAGCTCTGTCCCATGGACTGTGGCATTACATCATTTGCTGTACTTGAGGGATGTTAATCAGTTAATGGACGCTGCCTTGGGAATGTATGACTTTAATCTGGTTGTTATTGTAGCATCCAAATCCCAGAAAGATCCCAAGGAATACTTGGCTTTTCTGAATAAGTTACGTCAGATGGAGGAAAATTATCAACGATACAGTATTGACAAGCACCTAAGAAAGTGGGAATCAGCACTGATTCACCTCATCAAATGCCCGGATGATCACAACTCAGAGCTGTTGCAGTTTGTTATCAATCAAGATCTATTCAGAGAAGCCTTAAGCGCATTGCCAAAGCATGACGAAAGGTAAATTGGATTCCTTTGTTTTAATGAAATTCAGTATTTAGATTAACATGTCATTTTTATGTTCCTTTGTGTCAGGTTTCAGATGATTGCTTCCGCCTATGCAGATAAGCTTGCATCCCAACGTTTATACAAGGAGGCAGCAGTTATGTATCGCAGAGCCTTAGATTTCAACAATGCTCTTTTGAGTCATCAAAAGGCACTGGCATGGAGAAATTGCATTCAGGATGCAGATGATATCGGTCTCAAGTAAGCTGGAAAAATATTATAATTAATTCTTATTATTTCTTTTTCTATTATGTATTCTCAATGTTACCCCATTTATTGTGTCTTTTTCAGCGAAGAAGAAAGAAGAGAGCTATTTTCAGAGCTAGCAAGTGCTTTGCAGGAAACTGGACAGTTTGGAGATGCTGCATTGGTATATCAAGTGTATTTGAACCAACCTCTCAAAGCAGTACAAACACTTTGTGGTGGTCATCTATGGACAGAAGCTCAGCGAGTTGCTAACTCTTTAAAACTTCATGATAGTATTGGTGAGCAGCTGTAAATTTACAGGACCAGTAGATTTAATTGAGTACTTTGGGGAATTTCAAAATTTTATGACCATAATCTAATTGTTACAGAGACTGTGATCCATCCATGTGCTTTGGATTACGCTGATGTAATGTGTGTGCAGGTAAAGACATTGAGTGATACATTTAATGCTCATCTTAGCCGCCTTTTGGAAGTGAGAAGAGAGAAACAACTGGCACGTGAACGATTAGATGCTCAAGATGGGGACGCCGATGCTTGTGTTGAAAATGATATGTTATCTGACACCAGCAGTATAACAGGCAGTTCAGTCTCGTCTAGAGGTTCATCGAGGTTAGTGGCTAGTACAATAATTAAAGCTGTCTATTCACATGTATTTCCTACATATTAAGTTCCTTAATTTATTTTTCTCTTTCAGTCACTCCTCATCAAGTAATAGATCGAGCAAGAACCGCCGAAAACAGGAGCGTAAAGTCCTTAGTCTGAAAAAAGGAAGCCCTCATGAAGAGTTAGCTCTAATGTATGCCCTCCACCAAAGCATAACTTCTACTTTTGCTCTTAGAGGTAGAACTTTCAGATTGTTATTAAAAGTAGTTAGTGGTGAAGTGTTGTGGTAATGATGTTTCATAATGATGCTATTTAAAAACATTTTGCAGAGGAAATTCATTCTCTTGACTGTGCTCTTGTTGACTTGAATGATGACAATGTTGCCCGAGATCTTCAAAATTTGTTGTCTGTTACTCTGAGGACAATGGAAGGAAGTTTTTCTAAAATTTGGCCCGTTCACCTAGTTCAGGGGAATAGTAACCACACTGCAACTGTAAGTTTGAAACTAAATCTAATTTTATATTTCCTTAAATTACTGTCTCAATTTAGTAAAATATTTCCCTTTTTGTTCTTTCCTTCTTTTTTTAAAAAATAGCAATCGTTTGGACCCAATGCCACGTCGAATATGCTTGCATCCTCCATGAGCTCTGCTACCTCAAATCAACTAGATATGTCATTACTAGGTAAATGTTGGGTACCTAATCCATTGAACCTACAAAGCCATATCTATACACAAAGAAATTGATTTAATTCCAAATATGTATTTATTGCTTTCAGAACCCACATACCGCTTTCCTCCTGTGATTCGTCTTGTTAAGTGGGAGCTGGACATGCTGAGAAGGACATGCAAATGATTTGTGCTTTGTTACAAATATTGTTGATTTCTGTAACATAGCCATCAACATTGTGAAGATAAAATTATACATATTTTTAAAGAAATAGATAAGTTTTAAAAGTAAAAGAGGCATATCTCTATTGTAAGTACCTGAGTTTGTTCCTAGCACATCTTTCTTTTATTTTAATTCAGCCTTAACTGTTCACAAAACTCTTTCCATCTTAATCTATGGGGTAGTGAATTTTAGGTTTAGGTCAAGGCAAAGTCTCAGCCCAACTTAAGATAGCTAGGGTACCACTAAACTACCATTAATCACATCCAAATAATTCTTGGGTGAAGAAACCTCCAAGAGACATATCATGTTTGTAGGTGAGGTGCTGGAAGTGATAAGTTTGCCTTCAACTGAAGGTGGGGTTGGACCGTCCGTAGAAAATCTTCCAGGTCACTTAAGTTGGCCTGAGGGCGCAAAACTTCAGGTTAGACTTTTCTATTTCTGTCAGAAATTTTTAAAATGTATAAAAAGAAGGCGTTTGAAATGGAATGGAGTGGCGCCGGTGGCGCGGTAGTATCCTCTCCCAGCCCTCATTTTTTGTGCAGCAAGACCGTATAGAGATAAGGTATGCCCTCTTTTCTCGGACTGCCTGGGTGGTAGGCACCCCATTGCTTACATCACCACCAGGTTCTAATGGATATTTAATTCGTAGGTTTTCAGCGTCGGGGTTGTTTTTGATGGCAACAATAAGCCTCTGGCCATGCTGTATTCATTTAAAACAAATCAAATACCTACCCAGAAACAAGCAGGGGAAGAAATTTACTTAACCAAGAGCAGGGTTGTTACAAGGTCTGGATTTTTAATTTTTTAACATTTTCCTAACCAAAGTCCTGATTTTTACTGACTTTTTAGGCAAGTAGAAAAGCAGTATGCTGAGAAACAAGACAAACATTGATCACAAGTTTGTTTTCTTTTTACATAACTATAGAGAGGCAGTCAATGGGAGAAATTTTCCTAACTTTCCCTGACCAATTTTCTAATTCCTCACTTTCCCAGTCTGTTACAACCCTGTAGAGCTAGGCCCCAAAACTACCAGGAATGTAGTAATGTACATAAACAACACAAGCCTAATTGTGGGCTATCGAATGGAGTTTTTGGGTTACCTAAAAGAACAGTCAAATTACGTATGTATTTTTATTTATTTCACAACATAAATATATACATTCTAACAATGAGATAAATTTAGAGAGTAGAAAAATATTGTTTATGCAGTCAAATTATTTCTTGGAATAATATATTGACAGGTAACAAGAGATATAACAAGTTTTGAGGCACGGAATATCAAAACAAAGAAACAATATCACAAAATCTTAGAATACGACTTGGCATTGCACTAAATCGACCATCATTGGAAACAAATACTCGATAGAAAGCATAGATTAAAATGAAAATACATTTAAAAAATTAGAAAATTTACCAGTGCATAGTGATGTTCGTTTTGAGCAAACAAAGCTGCAAAATAAAATGTTGAATCTTTTTTGATTAAATCACAAGAGGGCAGAATACCAAATCACATAATTCTATTGCTGTAGGAGTGTTGTACAACTATGTATCCTAAGTCTAACATTTTTGTTCCTTTACTCTTATTCAACCACTAATCAATAGTATTTTTCATGGGACTGTGATTTCCTATGTATGCAGAATGATATGTGAATAGTTAAATGCACGTGAAGGAGTAGAAATTAGATTAGACACAGATACAAAATTTGATTTCAGTAATGAACGCATGCTCTAAAACCATATTATTTGAATAATACTTTCTGTTTCCCAGTGGATTTTACTCTCCGTACCAAAATTTATTGTGTCCACATAGCTTTTATGTTGTTACTGCAAAGCATGAAGCAGTACTCATCTAGCCACAGAATGAACATCTTCCCAGTAAAATCTTTCTCTTGGGAACAGGCGAACAGTCTCATGGCCCTTGAAAATAATTCAAAAGAAAGCATGCTTACTCCTATATTACCAACGACATCAATTCTAGACAAGGCAAGAGGTAAGGTCTAGTTGTTTGGATCTATCTCCAACAACCAAGGATCACAAAGTTTCACTCTTAATTCAAAATCAGTTCGCAAACGCACATTCTTCAAGTACTGCCCACAAAGGAGGGAAGGAAAAATAAATGGAAAGTCAATTGTCATACCAATAGTTCGCTATAACACCTACAGTTCAATCACATCGCGTACCAATCACTCGAGATCATCCCCTCAGCTCCACTGCTCAAAGGGGTCCCTCTTGGGGAAGAAGAAGGTCTGCAGTGATCGCGACGAGGGCATGGACACCCTCTTGCCGGCGCCGCTGCTGCCCGCCGGCCCGGCCGCCCTGGCCAGCTCGTCCACGCTGGTCGCCAGGCGGCGAACGGAGTAGGCGCTGGGCTTGGTATACACCAGCTCCGTGTCCTGGGCGCGGCGCGGCGGCGGAGGCGGCGGCAGCAGCGCCGGGGGCAGCGCGCGGGGCAGCATGGGCACGGGCTCCACGCCCAACAGGGCCAGCACTCGCTGGGGGTTCTCCAGCACGAACTGCTCCAGCAGGTCGGCGGGGTAGTCCGTCTGCAACAGCGACACACAGTCAAACACTGGCAAATCCCGGTAGAGAGAGAGAGAGCTCTGCAGAGCCAGTCAAGAAACTCGGAGGTGAGCATTTCCCATTCCTGGACGAACGAAGTAGCCGGCGTTTACACCGACCGACCCCACCCGTGTACCCACGTCGAAAGCTCCGAAAGGGACGAGGGCGAGCGGCGGAGAACGGTCGGCGCTCAGGGCGGGCCGCCGGCCCCGCTTGGCTGCTCGGCGGGTCGGCCTACCCAGCGCGTTGCAGGGGCTTTCAGTCTGGAGGTCTGGCCCCCTGACTGATTCGACCCGACCCGCCCACACCCACACTTCAACTGTCCCAGCACGCACGCGCGTTTGCCCAGCCCAACGCCCATGAGCACGACCAAGTAGGCAATACACTTTCCGGTACGCACTCACAGAAAAGAATAATTATTGTTCTAACGACCGTCGTGTTCTTGTGGCCGGTTTTGTTAATCCAAAGACACGGTGTTGCTAACGCCAACCCTATGACATCCGGTGGTTGTGCCACCAACCATGTCGTTGGAATAGCATCCCATGTCCCAGTTTTATAGCAAATGACATTTAAAGACACTTTTAAAGCACCAAACGCCAAGATTTCCGCCCGTCTATAAGAGATTGGCTAAAATGTGATTGTACCGCATTTTGCGATAAGGACCCATGAAGAAAACGTCTCAACCCCCCCCCCCCCCCCCAAAAAAAAAAACAACAACAAAAAAAACAAAAAAAAAAACAACATGCAAATTTGTATCAAGAAGGGGTTTGGTACGTTAGAAAGCTCTCTCTCAAAAAATACAGCACCCCCTCCCCCATCTCCAAGCGGCCTGTGGAAGTCGTTGGTGAGGTCTGAGTCGGTGAGCCCTACAAACGGAACACGCTCGTCTCCGCAAGAAGTGGGCTCTCACCTGTGTGGCGCGGTCCTGCAGGGGCACGGGGTGCAGCAGGGGCGCGGCCGCCATGGGGCGCGGCGGGAAGGGCGGCGGGGACAGCGGGCGGATGTGGCCGGGCGGCACGGCCGCGTGCGCCGCGCCCGCCTGCGCCTCGTGCACGCCGGGCAGGTGCACGCCGTCCTCCCAGCTGAACATGTCGGGCGGGTGCGAGCTGGAGCGGTGCAGCTGCCCCGGCAGCCCGATGCCCATGGCGGCGTGCGCGTGCGCGTGCTGGTGCGGCAGGTTGGGGTTGGAGCGCGCGGGCAGCGAGTGCGGGTAGCAGACCGGCCGCGCCGCCGTGCTCGAGGCCAGCTCCTGCAGGGCCTGGATCGCCGAGCGCACCTGGGGCACATCAGGACATTCAAATAAACTGCGGCCGGGAATGGTAAAAGTGCTACCGGGAGAATACGCGGTAGCTCTATGGGTTGCCTACGCACTGGCGTGCAGGCGCGGAGGGCGAGGAGGGAGCGGAAGGGGTGGCGGAAGGCAACCGACCAGCAACCGGCCGCATTCCGCCTCCCGCCACCTCCACCGCGCCCCCTCGCCCTCCGCACCTGCACGCCAGTGCGTAGGCAACCCATAGAGCTGCCGCGTATTCTCCCGGACACCCGGTACAGGTGAGTAGAACAAGTCCCTACCTCGATGCTGAGGGTGGCCACGTCCTGGTGCAGGCTGCTGACGTGGTTGTCGAGCCGCTCGACGCTGGAGCGCGCGTCCGCGCCGCCCACCACGCCCCGGGGACGCTCGCCCGCGCGCCGCGACCGGCCCCCCTCCGCGTAGCGCAGCTCGTCCAGCCTGTGAGCCCCCCCGGGGGAGAGGTTTAGAGAGACGTGAGAAGAGATAGGACGACGCGCGGACGTGAGCGTGGCGCTGGCGCTGTGTGTGACACTCACCTGGACTGGAACTTGGCGTGCCGGCCGGGGGAGGCGTACAGCGCGTGCATGGGCGACAGCGGCGACAGCTCCTCGGGGCCCTCCTCGCCGAGGTTCTCGTCGTCCTCGCTGATGGACGGCAGCGTGAGGGACGGGCCGCCGTTGCCCTCCGACTCCTGCTGACAGGCAGGCGGGATGGCGGGAGGTTTAAATATCGGCGGGACGATCGAAACAGTCAAACAAGTCAGGCTCAACCATACTTCACTAAAAAAATATCGCACACCA